GGGGGGGGGGGGGGGGGGGGGGGGGGGGGGGGGGGGGGGGGGGGGGGGGACGGGACAGGAGTGGCTGGGGTGGGGTGGATGGGATGGGGTGGGATGGGGTAGGATAGGATGGGATAGGATGGATGGGATGGGACGGGTTGGATGGGATAGGACAGGATGGGATGGGATGGGCTAGGACAGGGTGGATGGGATGGGACAGATGGGATGGGCCAGGAGGGGACAGGAGCAGGTTATTATCGGTGCTGAGTGTGGGCTCAGTGCCACAGGTACCTGTCCCCCGAGGGCACTAAGAGGCGCCATGAAAAGGTGGGCAGGCACACGGTGCTGCTTCTGTGCCACGATCCTGTGGGAACCAGCCAACTTCCCTCGTCCTCCTTCCCCAGCTGTGGGGCCAAAGGCCCCGCTCGCTCCCCCACAGGCAGAGATTGTTTGCACCCCATGGCCTGGGCCAAGGGGTGAGAGAGGGGCAATGTCTGCTCAGCAGCCTGGGGCCACCCTGATACCCTTAACTCTGCCCACAGCCCGGGCTTGGCGCCCAGCCCAGGGCAGGCAGCATGGCCCTGGGGGCACAGTGAGAACCCCAGCCCCTTCCCCCAGCCCCCAGAGCACCTCGCCCCTCACGCAATGCAGCCGCGTGTGCAGAGCCTCCCAAACGGCTGCATGCTGCGCGCTGGCATTTGCGGCCCATATGGTGCCGCTTCCGAGCTGCACCCCCTTCTCCTCCCCTCCCGCCCCTGCACCCACCAGACCCCAGCTCCCCAAAACCACCTGGCCTGTGCCGTCCTGAGCCACCGTGGGGATGTGACCGCCCTCTCCTGGGACTCATGCCCCCCTGAGCCCTGGTCAGGCAGGCCCACGGACAGGGAACACCAGAGTCGTGTCCCCAAAGCCAGCATCTCCCCTCTGCGCACAGGGAGACCGGCCAGCACCCCAAGGCTGAGGCAGCCCAGGGCACCCCTTGCACCCGTCCCCTGCGCAGCACCGAGCCCTGCGAGCCACAGGCCCACCGCCACCCGCACCGGGTAATTAACAGCACATGAGAGTGGGGGACTTAGTAGGGCACTGTAGTTTGAGCTTCTAATCAAGAGTTTAATCATACCGGCTGGCAGCAGCGCGGCGCGGTTATTAATCTTTGCACCTCGTGGGAACCTGTAGCGTAACTCACAATTACCCGGCAGGGGCCCAGTGCAGCTCAGGGCTGCCCGGCGGTGGCTTGCGGCATGAGGGACGAGGGATGGGGCCAGCACTCCTCCAGTGCCCCTCGGCCCATCTTGTGCCTGTCGCCTACTGGCACCCGCCTCCTGCCTGTGGCAGAACAGCCCCAGGCTCCCGTCACTGCCCACCCGATCCCCTCCTGGCACTGGCTCTGCCTGGGCTCTTTGGCCCCATTTTGAGGTGATCAGCTCTGCTGAGCCCAACGGCGTTTGTGCCTGCTGTGCCCTGCCCCTCTGCTCTGTGCACCCACTACCCTGCGCACCCACCACTCTGTGCACCCACCGCTCTGTGCACCCCCTGCCCTCTGCACCCCCTGCCCTATGCACCCACCATTCTGTGCACCCACCGCTCTGTGCACC